AGAAAAATTGAGACAGTACTAACAACTATATGTTCCTATATTACTTGGTAATAACAGCAGATAACACCACAGTTTTTTTCATCTTTCTTTTTCTCTTCATGAAGGGGTAAGACTATTTTTGACATTCACATGCATAGATTTGGAAAGTAAGGATAATCAAAACATAATATAAGCTGTACTTGTCGTTGCAAACTATTCAAAATATAAGCTGTACTTGTCGTTGCTATTCTACAGTTGGTTATGTTTGATTGATGTAACTGAAATGGGTCAAAACACTTGCATATTTATTAATCAGTACGATTGCGTGCCCAAAAAGTTATAGGATTTTCAATTAGGGCCTGTTTGTTTTACTAAAAAAAGAGGGAAATCAAAGAAATGGAAAACTATTAAAATGAAGAATTGGTTTGGGAGTGTTTGGTTGGCTAAAAAAAGAAGGAAATCAAAAAAATGAAGATGAAATGATGTTAGTTGTCATATTATTATTGGATGATGTGAGTGATTTTTTAAGAAAATTAGTTTTGATGTTGTTTGGTTGGCGAAAAAAATAAGGAAATGAATTATAAGAAACATATTTCCTGTAGTTTGTTGTTTTCTTTTGGTTTGGTTCATTCTTAAAAATAAGAAATGAAATGAGATGAGATGAGTTGTCATTGTATTATTGGGTGATGTGATCCAAGATTAAGAAAAGTGTTTTCACAACTTTTTGGGATGAAAACAAAGAAATGAAATGTTAATGAGATGAGGTGAATTATTATAATATTTTATTGGATGATGTGAGTGATTTGAAATGATGAAAAGAGATGAGTTGAGTGATGTTTGGATGAAAATAATATTTTATTAGATGTGATGGATGAGTTGTTAGATAAAAATAATATTTTATTAGATGCGATGGATGAGTGGTTAGATGAACATAATATTTTATTAGATGATGTGGATGAGTTGTTGGATGAAAATAATATTTTATTGGATGTTGTGGGTGAGTTTTAGGGATGAAAATGGAGGAAATAGTGCTTTTTGAGATTTTCACCTTTTCCATTTCTATTTCTTGGTTTTTCTTGGTTTTTAGGAAATAACCAAACAGGCCCTTACATGCTCTTCTTGTTAGAAATCATGCAGCAGTGGCTTCTTCAAGAACCTAGAAGCTTCTCTACCTATCTAGCAAACTTTGGAAATTGGCATTAGAAGCTGCCATGGAGTTTTGTGGAAATTTCTAGAGAAAAAAAAAAGCAAACTGACATTGAACCCTATAAAAGGGGTTATGCCATTCGGTTTTGGATCAAGGAAGTGAGCAAGAGAAAGGTGAAGCTAAGAAAATGCTATAGTGTAGGTTGAAGAGTAGGCTCTCTAGAGAAAAGAGAGAGTGTGAGAAAAGAAGTGTAGTAAGGTGATAGGCTGAAGCCTAGTGGGATGTAGAGTGGCTGTGAGAAGAATATTTAGAGAGAGAAGAGTAAGAAAGTGTAGGTGCAAGTAGGGTGTAGAAGAGAAGTATACTACTTGTAATATCTTATATCAAAGAAAAGTTCAAGTTGAAGTCCATTTTCTTCTAAAATATTTGTTCAAGTCCTGCGCTCATTCCATCACTTCTGCATCAGTTTCCTTTTAACTGAGTATCACTTGCAGAGACGCAGGCGATTCCATAGAGTTGCTATTCCCAACAGTCAGACACTTTCTCTTCTTGGAAGAGACCTTCGTGAGGCTCATCTGCAAGTTCTCTTAGGAAGCGGGTTTTACCAGCCAAGCAGCACTGCTGTATCAACTGCCGTCACTGATTCATTACTATCATCACTAGTTTTAAATTTCCCATCATCTGAAGTAGAGGAACCATAAAAAACAATCATGTCCGCTACAGAAAATCCTATAAGAAAAAAGACAACATCTCTGCATACTCGGAAATCAAGGTAGGTTTTTGAATTTTATTATCTTTCCGTATTTTTCCTTGTTTTGTTGCGTTGTTGGATAGTCATGCTTTTTTAGCTCTGCAAAAGGTATCAATGGTTTGCAAATTGTTCCTTAGTAAACCTTCAGTCAGAAGCTGTAGTATACCATCCTCCAAAAGGATCTTGAAAGCCATGGAAGCTTATATTAGAGGCTTACTGCTTAGTATGGGTTAAGTTATTGGTGAAATTATTAAATTAGCTTGATGTCTTGCTTACATATAATGTCTAATTGTATTCAATGTTGGAAATTGCTGAAGGTAATATCATTTACATGTTATGATAACAACGTATATGTATGTCGAGCTCTAATTAAGTGCAATGGCTATTATTCATCAAATTCCAACACCTAATCATTCATAAAAATTGTCTTTTGTCAGTCTTGAACTTTCCTCAACTCATGAGGAGTGGGAACAAAAGCGGAATCAGGCTACAGTGAGAACAACATTCACACAGGACCTGCTTCTCTCCACTTTGTTTGAGGAGTAACGAGCTGCAGGCAGACATGCGCTATTGCCACATTAGGACATTACTGCTTCCGCTCGTCCTTAAACGACATCACAAAACTGTTGACGAATGAGTTTTGGTGAATGTTTATGTCAAAAGAGGCAGTTTTGGGCCCTATGCCATTAGTGCAGTATATATCTGGGATGTTCTTCAGTGCCTCTGTTCAAATGTTTTTCTCATCTTTTCGGCTGTGATCATAGTCTCATAATTTATCCCTCTTTTATATCAAACAACGTATGGTTGTGAATGGTGGATGATACAGGTGTATCTTCTTTTTGGAATTTAGTGATCCTCATGGGAGCTTGATGATAGATAATTCTCATGGTAACTTGAGAATAGAGGGGTAAAACAACACAGTGAAACCCATGTTGAAGCATGGAACGAGACGGCGAATCGAAGAATCGAAACATCCAATTTTCAGCCCGTGAGTCGACTCATACATGTACATGAGTCGACTCATCAGGTTGAGTCGACTCATGCCTGTCATGAGTCGACTTACGAAACCCAGCCGTTTTGTCGAAAGTTTTTGACGAGTCGACTCACCTCATCATGAGTCGACTCACTTGGCATGAGTCGACTCATGCATGTTTATGAGTCGACTCATCGACGCTTTCCTGGTTCGTTTGAGATTCTGTTTGCACGAATTCCTGTGGGGTTTGGGCTTGGTTATTTACCACTTTGCTATCCACATTGTTACACCTATATAAGGGATTGTTTTAGGGTTTTAAAAAAAAGAGGAGAAAGCAATCAAGAGAGATTAGATCGTATTTGATAATTGAGAAAGATTATTCTTTAATTTTAGTGTGATTGTGAGAGATTGTAAACTATTTTATTCTCATAATCTAGAGAAGATATTTTCCTTCGCCACCACTGAATTGTTCTTGTGTTCTTGTTATTTTCTTCTCAACCTACATTTGATAATTCCGCGATCAAAGGTGCTCGCACGACGACTCATATCAAGTTGGTATCAGAGCGATCAGATCCTGTGAAGGGGGCATTCTGTTTATGATCCTGACTCAATCGTAATATAAGAAGCTAGGCGAGATCCTTATTTTATTAGAAGGAGTTCATAAATTAAGGAAGAAGAAGATGACTGAAGGAGATAGTTCAGCTAGGCTAGATGCATTGGAGAAACAGATATAGACAATAAGTTCGACTCTCACACAGCTCGTTAATATCTTCCAAGAAATAGAAAAAAAAAGAGAAATCTTCTTCGAAAGGCAAGAAGAAACTTATGGAGTTTGATGGAGAAGGCGAGAAATCTAATTCTGATAGGGAGGCTGAGATTGTCAAAACTGTTCCACATCAAGGGGTAAGGGTTCTTACCAGAATTTGAAGATAGACTTCAAAATAGAGATTTCTGTTTATGATGGGAGTGTCAACATTAAGAGGTTTGATGATTGGATCGAGCGAATGGAGACGTATTTTACCCTCTACGGATATTCATCCAAGGAGAAGCTTGTGTTCGCGACTTTGAAGCTTTCGAAGCATGCATTGGCATGGTGAAAATCCTATTGTAAGCAGGAACGGAAGGCGGTGTCGTGGAACAAATTCAATGAGCTACTGATGAAGCAGTTCTACCCAGTAGGGTTCCTTGAGGAGCGTTGGTATAAGTGGTACGGATTGCGCCAAAGGTTCAACCAGACCGTTCAAGAATATACGACGGAGTTTCAGCATCTGGCGATGGTTCTCAACATCGCGACGGAGGAATATTTCATCTTTATGAAGTATATGACGGGTCTGAATGAATATATCCTAAAGGAGATGAAGTTGTTCACAGTCGAGTCCATGGCAGAAGCGAGTGTAAAGGCCATTGCCATTAAGGACAGGCAAAAGAAGGGCAACGAAACGAAGGGAGACTCTAAACAGACGGGAGGCAAGTCTAGTGGCTCTCAGCCTAAGGAAGAGAAGAAGAAAGCAATCAATAGAGATTAGCTTGTATTTGAGAATTGAGAGAGATTAATCTTCAATTCTAGTGAGATTTGTGAGAGATTGTAAACTATTTTATTCTCATAATCTAGAGAAAGTATTTTCCTTCGCTATCACTGAATTGTTTTTGTGTTCTTGTTATTTTCTTCTCAACCCACCTTTGATAATTCCGCGATCAAAGGTGCTCGCACGGCGACTCGTATCAGTGGATCACATCTCCCATGCATAAACTTTCATCGCGTAACTATGTTACTTCTAAGACCATCTCCAATGGCAAGGCAAATATTGCCTTTCTCTCTCCTTCCACCTCACTTTATTCTCTCTCCACATCACTTGCCTTTTCCAATTGCCTTTCAACTCCACAACAACTAGTTTTTCAAAAGTTTTTCACTTTATCTTTCCTCCACATCACTCAACCATATACCCACCATATTTATTCATCCTATTATTCTTATTTTTTATACATTTTAATCGTTATTATATTTACTAATATATTTATAATTATAAAATTTAATTTTTATTATGTAATAAATAATATGTATTTTTTAATAATTTATAATTTTCAAAAAACTTAATTTTTAATGCAATAAATAATATATTAATTTTATAAAAGAAAACAACACACACTATTATTAATGTAGTGGTAAACCAAACATACATAATTTATTGAAAACGTACAAGAAAAAACACACCAAACATACATAGTTTATTGAAACATGCAAGAAAAAACACACCAAACATTGAAAGTTTTTGACATTTCTATTCGAAGGTTGCTCCAAATTTTTGCCAAATGTGCTCGACGAGATCCTTTTTCAACTGAATGTGTTTGGCCCTATCACGTAGATCGGCTCTAGTATGAATATCCGATTCGGCTCGGGCTTGAACGTGCACTTCAAATTGTGGCAACACTTGTGTTTGGACATTGAAAGAGGAGCTAGAGCTAGCACTAGCATTGTTCGATGGTTCGAAGTCAATATTTTCCCAGTTTCGCAAATATGTATCTCGTTCATCCTCGACTATCATGTTATGTAAAATAATGCAAGCCCTCATTATTTTACCTAAGACCTCAATGTCCCACATTCTAGCGGGCTGGCGAATAATAGCAAATCGTGCTTGGAGAACCCCAAATGCGCGTTCCACATCCATCCTATATGATTCTTGTTGTTTGGCAAACAACTGCGCTTTGTTGCCTTGGGGCAATTGAATTGATTGGACAAAGACAGGCCATTTCGGATATATTCCATCTGCAAGATAGTAAGCACGATTGTATTGTCGCCTATTGACAATGAAATTCACCTCCGGGGCTTCACCTGACTCAATATCGTCAAATACCGGTGACCTATCTAGTACATTAATGTCGTTCAATGTACCTGGCAAACCAAAAAAAGCATGTCATATCCATAAATCAATAGATGTCACTGCCTCAAGGATAACTATTGCTGTCCCCTTGTGTCTACTAGTAAACTGCCATTGCCAAGCATTAGGACAATTCTTCCATTGCCAGTGCATGCAGTCGATACTTCCAATCATTCCGGGGAAACCACGCTCCTGACCAACTTGGAGTAACCTCTGCACGTCTTCCACATTTGGACGTCTTAAGTATTCATCTTGAAACAAAGCAATTACCCCATCGCAAAAATTACGAGTGCACTCAATTGTGGTGGATTCTCCAATCTTCACATACTCATCACATGCCTCTGCGGCGACTCCGTATGCAAGCATGCGGATGGCAGCTGTACACTTTTGGATAGGTGACAAGCCCAAATTTTTTGAATTATCACGCCTTAGAGTGAAGTAGTTGTCATAATTTGATAATGCGTCTACAATTCGTAGAAACAATGACCTTTTCATTCGATATCTTCGGCGAAACTGCATGTCGGAGTAAGTGCATGACTCGTCGAAGTAGTCGGCCATGAGCCTTTGATGGGCAGCTCCATGATCCCTAGCTCAGACAAGACTATGACTACTCAATATCTTATCTTCATATTCAATTTAGTTAACTAAATTGAATATGAAGATAAGATATTGAGTAGTCATAGTCTTGTCAGAGCTGGTGGGTTGATTATTGATTTTGGAGTGTAATGCAGTGAGTAGTCATAGTCTTGTCTGAGCTAGTGAGTTGATTATTTATTTTGGAGTGTAATGCAGTGAGTAGTCATAGTCTTGTCTGAGCTAGGGGTTGATTATTGATTTTTGGAGTGTAATGCAGTGAGTAGTCATAGTCTTGTCTGAGCTAGTGGGTTGATTATTGATTTTGGAGTGTAATGCAGTGAGTAGTCATAGTCTTGTCGGAGCTAGTGGGTTGATTATTGATTTTGGAGTGTAATGCAGTGAGTAGTCATAGTCTTGTCGGAGCTAGTGGGTTGATTATTGATTTTTGGAACGTAATGCAGTGAGTAGTCATAGTCTTGTCTGAGCTAGTGGGTTGATTATTGATTTTGGAGTGTAATGCAGTGAGTAGTCATAGTCTTGTCGGAGCTAGTGGGTTGATTATTGATTTTGGAGTGTAATGCAGTGAGTAGTCATATCCATGTCCTTATATTCGTCAGAATGTGTAGTCACACAATATTCAAACAACACTATTATTCAAACAAAACATCGTAATTCAAACAACACTCTTATTCAAACAACACGCTTACTAAAGAACATACATCACGACAATAAAACACACATGCTTATGAAGAACACACAATTCGATAATAATACACGGAATATGCAAACTAGTTCCCAAACAATTCCTTCTTCAACATACTATACGCCGCTTCATCTTCATCATCTCGGGCCTCTTTGTTCTTCAAGCTCAACCACATCTCTAACTTCTTATTGCGATTGTACTCCTGGATAGCTGAGACTTGAGTCGCCCTGTATTGTTCATTAGCGTCACGACGAGATGCTAAATCGGACAACTCTTCCTGAATGGTAACCTTTGATTTTCTTGAAGTTGATGATTTACTAGATGAAGCTCTAGCTTTCTTCTTTGTTGCATCCCTACCTTCCGGACGTACAAGGGAATGAATAGCAGAATCAACGTCATCGCTACCACTCTTTCTCTTAGATCCACTACTTCCAGATTCAGTTGCTCCTGTGATATATTTGGGTTGGTGACGAACCAACTTCCACTCATCCAACAATTAAAACTTTGTACCTTGGTTTTCACTGTACAACTCTAGACCTTTGGATATGTAGTCATTGTCTGACCAACCACTACGTCTCTCCCTAGTAGCAGCACTATAACAACCAACAAAGTTACTAATCTTCTTGTTGAGGTCACGAAAATGACTTTGACATTTTACAATGTTCCTCTGTATCCCACGATCGGAGTTCTCATTCACGTAATCAGAGATTTTGCCCCAAAAAGTATCACCCTTTTGATTTGAACCCAATTCACTGTCAGTACTGTAGTGGAAATAACCAGTTAATAACAACTTGTTCTCTTCAAAAGTCCAACTGGCGTAATTTCCTTTCTTCGCTGATTGTTGGGTTGGAGCTTCAAAACTGTGGGGAGTATCCCCACCAAGTTCTCCCAGAGAGATTTGTGTAGAAAATTGTGGGATATCAGTGGATCCACTACTAAAGCGAGGTGTGTTTGGCTCACTAGTCGGTTCAATGTTTGGAAAATTGACATGAGATGGAAGAGAGCTGTTTCCAGGAACTGGTTGATAGCCATATGGCATATAAGGATGATTATACGGGTATTGCATTCCATAAATTGGTGGCATCATATTAGGATTTTGATAGCCATATGGCATGTAAGGATGATTTTCAGGCCGTTGTGTATTTGGATTTTGAGGTTGCATATTCGGATTTTGAGATTGGTTTGGATAGTTGTAATTTGGGAGAAAGTTTAAGTTAACTGAAGGATCCATGAAGGATGTTGAAGATGGAAGAAGAAGAAAAAAATGAGAGGGTGAGAATGTGGAAGTTGGTAATATAAGGAATGAAGTGAGTAAAAACTTGATTTTTTTTTGTGTCCAAATAACATAAACTCAAGCTCTATTTATAGACCTTGAAAAATAAAAAATAAGGGTGAAAAAAATAATTAATTTAGAGCAATTATTGATATAAAAAAAATCATTTAAATAATGGAAGAAAGAAAAACAAAAGAAAAACAAAAAAAAACAAAAGACATTCTCTTTTGTGAACATGGACACGCGCATGTGTCCATCTCAATGTCCCAGCTTCGCTGATGTGGCGCAAGGAGATTGGTGTAATGCATTTTTTTGTTTTTTTTTTAATGGCAGGGGAAAATTAACCGGTAGGCAAATTTTGCCTTTTCTCTCTCTTACTTTTCATTTGCCTACCCAATTGTTAGCCATTGCACCAAATAACATACCCAATTGTTAGCCATTGGAGATGGTCTAAATGCAAAACTTTATTTTATTTAAGATAATTATACAGCTAGTTCGCAATATTGACGTAGTTTCTTTTACTTTGTGGATGGTTGGTTGCTACATCTTGATGAATCTGGTTTACCTTTGCAGTTGTATCATTGTCAAACTGAAGTATCGTGTGGAGGCACAAATAATTGGGTGTTTCGCCTATAAATAAACTGGGTATTTGCAACAGCATTTCATATACTCTCTTGATATTTCATTTTTTCTCTGAAAATAGAAGTGTTGATATGTCAGTGGAGGTCCCTTTTCACCTTTTACATCTGTGCGTAGGCTGGTTTCAGAGCTTACTCTTTTGTAGCGGTCCAAATTTTCTTGACGGGAGGAAGTTAGATCAAATCTTATAAGAGGGCCATTTCATAGTCAAGCTACTAAAAACCAACGGTAGATTTTGGTTGTCAAAGAAGACAAGATAAACTTATATCATTAATGCTCAGTTTGTCTTTAGAAAATGCTCGTAGTAAAGAAGAAGTTTCAGACCAGAAAAATGAGTTGTCTTCACACTGTTAGTAGCCTCCTTACAACATGGGTCACACATACAGATTCAAAATCCTTTCGCACATTGCACTTAGGAGACTGAACCTATATAGCCTTCACAAAAAAACAAAGAAAAGGAAAAAGGAAATAATGATGCTGCTTGAAGTAAACTCGGTATTCCAAGCGAACAAACTCGTACATTATTTTCAGAAATCTTGCAAGAAATACATTTGATTATGATCATGAATTGTGTATAAATAATAATTGTTAAATAAATTGAGCTGCAAAGTAAAGAATACGACGTATCCAAATCTTATGCTCAAACGAACATTGCATATCAGGATGACAATAATCTACACTACATCTTCCAGAAAGGATCCAACACAGTGCACAAGGGAGATAAATAAGGCAGTGAAACATCATCACTGTGGTGGTAGTAGGATGGACATTTCATTCAATTATCTAGGAGTAAGCTACGTCTCAGGCCCAGTGTAGAGCACCAAGCCTTACTGTATTCATCATGTTTCTAAATGACTGAAAGTGCTCATTATACCAACATGTTAAAAAGACCGCAATTCATTTATTTTTCAAAAAGCAAAGATGATATTACGTTACAAGGGGGCTATTGGTGAATGGTTCTTCATATCTGTGTGATCATAGGGAGCTTACTTTGTAGTAGACACGATGAATTTAAAAGAAACTGTACAAGTGGTTATTGTAACAAAACTAGCAATCAGGAAGGTCGCTACAAACTCAAGCTTGTTCGTGATTAGCTCCTATTCTGCTACAACAATTGCTTGCTGGGGCTCTTCTTCGTTGCTGTCATTTTGAGCATTTTCACATCTTCTTTGTTGTGGCTCTTCTTCTCTGCTATCTTTGTGCGCACTTGCACAACTTATTTGCTGCTGTTGATGGTGATAACGAAGTACCACTACGGAGATAAATGCTGCAAAAATCAGAGCATGTTTAGCATTCATATGACAGTTTTGTCCAATCAAATCCTGAGCTTGGTATTCACGAAATATTTTTTAGGGAGATGTTGGTTCATTAATTCCCTGCACACTCATGTTAAATAAGAGTTGGAACAGAGAAGAAAGCACAAGGGAGGAGATTGAACAATTATGATAATGAAATCTAAAAAGATTACATGCAATCTAAAAAGGTTCAAAAGTATGTTGTAATTTTTATAACTAGCATGATACATTTCCTTGGTGGTAAGACAGAAACATCTATGCATACAGGCTGAAATTTTGCACAACAGAGGAGAGTAAGTGCGACTGGCCTGAACCCTACACAAAAAGCTCCCTTTTTTATTCGCCAGAAACTATACTCTGTAAGGCATTGAAAGTATACCATACAGCTCAAGCATACATTAGATAACCACTTCTACATCTGCATTCAAGGACCTCTTATCATATATGACTAGTTTCAGACCCGTGCGATGTATGGGTTTCTTTGCAATTGAGTTTAAAATTTTCAATATAGGGAAATCACAAAATTTTAAAATTTAAATAATATATATAAACAAACTGACAATTCTTTACAGCTTTCAACAAAAGCAAAATAATATATGACCACATGTGAGTCTACCCGGTGTAGTCTTGAACAAAATAATAATATATGACTACATGTTAGTCTAGTCTTGAGCAAATAATATGAGCACGTAACTTTCAAAACGAAATAAAGAAAGAACTGTTCAAAACTCTTTAATCAATCACAAATGACCACTAACATAACCATATCAAATATCCAATGTAGAAATACTCTACTCGGTATGTTATTCAAAACATGACGAAGCAATACTTTTTTAATACATATATATCAATTTTGATTAAAAGAAGCAAATCACACTGATGGATAGATTTAATTAATAGGATTTGAACATTAGCGTCAACATCCGAATATGCAATAGAGAAACACAGAAGTTTGGGACTCTCTTATTCGTAAAGAAATGTTTCTCGTGGTTTCTGGACTAATGCTTTGCATCAGCTGAATGCAATGCACTACTCCCATAATATGTAGCGAGTTCCTCGATGCGAGTAGATTTCATAAAAACAATAGAAAAGTTTAGTAGATGATGTAAGGCCTAAATTTTAATTAAAAACATTGTGACGACTTAAGCTTCTGCTTCACCCAACACAATCTGATTTAATAACCAGAAAAAAGTATTAGGGTTCATCAGGTTTTCTATTAGGGAAAATTCAGATATGCAATAAAGAAAATAATGCCTTTTTTGATAATTATACACAGTACCTCTTAGGTTTTCTCTTTGCTCAGATGATGTTGCCTGCTTCCCGTTTTTAGCTCAAATAATTAAACATTTGATTTTACTCAAAAAATAAGAGGTTATTGCCAATGATTCATATATGTGGAAGAAATTATTGAAAATTAGAGATAAATGGATCAATGATTGTGGTTCTATTGTGTTGCTATCGCTAGAATTCAAGCTTGTGTTGATCGTGCTAATGTGAAGCTTGCTGTTGCATATCATGATATTGTTTCCACCCCTGCTGGTGTCACTAATTTGGTCGAATACTGTTTGGAGAAAACTTACTATTCCTAAGCATGGTTTTTAGTTTAGGTTAGTGATGCATTGAAGGCTTCTTACCAAGATAGATCTTCCCTTTTCTATTTGCCAGAAACTAGATTGTAAGGCATTGAAAGTATACCATAAAGCTCAAGTATACATTAGATAACCACTTCTGCATCTGCAACAGGGACCTCTCATCATATCTAATTCGATATCTCGAATAGAAATTTTCCAGATAAGCAAATCATCCGACAGATTTTGACTAGATGCTGAAAAAAATTCACTGTAACATGATATACTACTTATAATAAATAACTGCATAATTATGTAAAGAAGAAAACGTGTATTGCCTAAATGAGCTACAATTAAGCATGCCACATGTCAAAGTATCAGCATCTTTTATGCATGTACTTCCATCATAAATCGATGTGCAGTGTTAGAAACCCAAAAGTACCTGCAAAGAGGCGCATCTTTATGCCAAACATATTCCATAGCACCATTATTGTAGATGCTGCTGTAAGTCTCTTCCGAGGGTAGGATTTCCATGCAGACCAAACGTAACTTCTCATTTCCTCAACTGATTCGTCATGAAAACAACTTTGTTAATAAATAGGAACTATCAACTGATACTTGGAACACATAGCAAGGCTGTATTCATGCTATCAACACCTTAAGTACCTTTTTCCTGTATTTTGTCTGAGTAGCATGTGTAGAGCTTGGGAAGAGTGAAGCCCAAGAAAAATCCTGCAAATGTTTATTCATGTCATTCAAGGACCTGGATGTATACATTTAACGGAAATGTCAACAAAATAAAATAGAATGATACCAGTAGTTAAAAGTCTGCATGGGGTTATCTGGTGACCATACTTAGCTGTGAAGACAAGAATAGGAGCCACCTGAAATCAAAATTGAGGTGTTTTAATCAGCAATTTAAAATAAATACACCATGTATAAGTAGAAATGTGTGAAAAGGGGATGGATTGAAACTTGCTTTGAGAGTTATCAATGGTTCGCCGGAGAAAATCTCTTGGCTCTTGGAAAGAGCAGCATTTGCTGTTGGCAAAACAAACCGAGCACTCGCAGGATGTCCTCTTCTTTCAACTTAAAATTTTCCCGTCTCGGCTTCTGCTGCTGCCTGTAGAAAACTTTTATATTGTTTGCGCAATTCCTTAGAAATACAATAGGGCGGCGACCAAGATTTGTACCTCTGTGGAACAGAATCGTAGAAGAAGGCTAAACCCAGAATCAATAAACCCAGATGAGAAACAGCTGATATCCAACTGCAGATTTCCAAAACATTAACTTCAAAGCTAGAAGAAATTTCATATATCAACCTTGGTAACCGAAATCGAGTTCCGAAATAGTACCTGAATTCTACATCTTTTGAAAACCATGAAGACAGGAAAAACATAGTCCCCAGTCCAAACCAAAGCGAAGATTTTGCTGCATTCTTCCACATAACAAGCTCCAAGATCAACTCCCATGGCAAATCTCCACTTGCAGAGATCTCATCCTGTTCAGCTTGTTTCTCACAAATCTCAGGCAATGGGCTCGAAGGAGGAAGTGAAGCCACCTGCTGGGCCGCTCTCTCATTGTGAGCAACCTTGCTTCTGCTTGACCTCTTTTTCCTCAGTCTCACACCCTCCTCCTCCTCGAAAGGCACGAGCTCCTTCTCCTCCCTCACGTTCTCCTTTTCTAATCGTCTCCTCGCTCGTCTCGCATTTCTTGGCGAAGCCCCAGCAGCTCTGCTCTTCCCTTTCTTCCGGCTGCTGATAGGAGTAGTCACCGCAGCTGATGCCGCCGCCGCCGCTGCATCAAGGCATTCATCAACATTGACGGGCTTCGGCCGTGGCCTCGATTTCCGATAAGGGGGTGGAGATAGGAGGAGAAGATCATGGAGAGAGACAGGGTTTGGAGAATGGATTGAGATTGGTGGCCGTGTTTGGTCTTTGGGTTTGGATTCAAGGAGGGCACGTGGTTTCAATTGATTGGTAACGGGGGTTGTTGGGGTTGAAGAGGAATCCATGGAGAACGTCGAAATCTCTAGCAATTGTTGATGTTTTATGGTACAAGAGAGAGAGAATGATGGGGGGTTTTCTTGGTTCGTTGAATGGAGGAGGGAGGAGATATAGCCGTTGGGAGTGGGATGCTGTTTTGTCCCTGTCTATTTCTTTATTAATTAATGCGACTTTCTACATAAAAAAGACAAATGGAAAATTTCGAAGAAGTTGGAATAAGAGAGCATTGCAAACGGTAACAAGCCAACAGAAATTGTAGCCTTTTACAATTATTATAGGCACTGTAACTGTTGGGCCAGAGGCCCATTTAAGCAGACAATTGGGATATCTCACTAGAAATGGGCCTCAAGATCATTTTGACTCGCTAAAATAATTGCCGCAATACTTGTACAACCATCGATCGCCTTTATTCTTTAATAGCTAATCCCCTCTCTTCTCAACGTTGCAGGTTTTCATTCTCTTTAGAAGCCTTATATTATAAGACTTATTAATTTACCAGATACGAATGTGGCTTTTATTTATTCCACAAGAAACAATGATTCCAGTCCATTCAATGACACTGTAACTTCTCATGTTTCTCAAAAAAAGACACCATAACTTCTCATGGTCGTGTCTCGGTTAAACAGCTGATCGATGCTTTTGAGCCTCTAAGTGAGTTGGAAGGAGAGTTTCAGCTCTCCGTCAGTGGTTATCGAGTATGCAACAACTAACAAGCGTAAATACTAACTGACGCAGTCACAGAAGGTGGTTTGTGTATCCAGCTATTACACAGACTGAGGGAGAGCAAAAGGAAAACAGATCGTGTGAACGTGAGGGGGGGGGGGGGGGAGGCCACACCCAACCCTATTTCTTCTATAAATAGAAGGGAGGTAGAGAGGAGAAATTGTGGTGGGAAAAATCTAGAGTGGAGGAAAAAAGAAGAGTGAGGAAAAGAGAGCTTGTATAAGTTTGGTATTTTCTTCATAGTGAAACCCCCCCTCCCGTGGACGTAAACAAGTTTGCCGAACCACGTAAATCTGTTGTCTCATCTTTTACTGTGAGTTGGTATTGCTTGTGTTGGATATTTTGTTGGAGAAACGCAATTTTGCCTTAATGAATGTTAATAAATTTTGTAATTAAAAATATGCTTTAATTAGAAATTAAAATGAGCATAATGACTATACATTATGACGAACGTTACAGAATTAATTACGGTTTTTGTAACGTCTTTTCCAACCCTATATATATATATCTGTATGTTGAGCTCAAAATCATAAGAAAAATATTCAACAAGTTTCTCTTGTTTTTCCTTCTCTCCCCTACATATTACTTTCATCTATATCTTCATTTTATTTTATGGGCAACTTTCTTCATTTGAGCTGAAGCTCTACATTCTCGCCCGAGTGCAGAGGCCGGCCATTTTCGAGGGCTTTTACCTCTAGGGGGAGGGAACCATTTACGTCAGGGTGATAGGCGGGTTCTCAATCTTCTAGGACAGTGATTACATGACTGCTCCCGTCAGGCCTGATTTTTCTTATCTCTCATTTATTTTTATTTCGGATTTACTTAATGCTATAATCTTAATTATTTGATATATTTCCAACAATCTAGAAGATTGAGCAGTTTTATAGCTTTTAATTTAAATCCGAAATTTTTTTATTAAAAGTTACTGCTCATTTGCAAATTTTGTAAAATTTGGGAAAAAAATTATTTGTAACTGTTACTGTTCATTCCGAAAATAAACTTTTACCTGTTCATTGGAATAGTCTACTGTTCATAAAAAAAGGCTTCTAAATGGCTTATCTATTAATTAACCTTTTGTTAATAAAAACAGTTTTGGTTAGAAATTTGTAATTAAATATTTCTGTTAAATTTAATTAATTGTTGTTAATTAAGTTGTAATAATTACTACTAATTAATTCTAACAGTTACTTACAATTAATTGTAATTAATTGTTTTAATTGCTTTTATTGCTTTAATTGCTGTTTTAAGATGTTGCAAGTGGGCTCTTTGCCTTCCAGTACCTCACGAGTCTGAAGTTCAAGCTCTTCCACAAATTAAATCGTTCTCAGCCTTGATGTTCTAAGCTTGCTGGGGTGGGCCGCAGTCGTTCTGACAGACCCCATAAAAACAAATTTTTACTCTCACGACATGTAAATCATGAGGTTCGAATATTAAAAGGTAAAACCCTCATCGGCCTTATCCAACATATGTTTGCAGTATAATTGCTAGGTAAATCAACATATGTTTGCAGTATAATTGCTAGGTAAATTAAATGCTTGTAGGAAATATTTTAAAGTTTCTATATACTGTTAATGAACAAAAACTCATTGAGACCGATTCAAGTTTTTTTTGGATTAGTTGGTGTCTAAGACAAGGTTTAGGGGTTGCGTAACGCGCTCTGTAAGAAACAAGGTGCTTAATTGATCTTTGATCAACCTCTATTACTATTCTTACCTGGCTAACTACCCGAGTAAAACTTTAATCTTTTCACTTTAGGAGTTTTTGGTTTGGAATAAGAATTATTATGTGTTTAAGAGGTGGTACTAGAAAATGACAACATAAATTTGGAAGGTCTCTTTTGAAGGCAATCAATTTAAATTTGGAAGGTCTCATTTGTAGGCAACCAATTTAAATTTGGATGGTCCCTTTGAAGGCAACCAAATTTGCAACCTCTTATAATATTAGGAGTTTTTGGTTTGGAATAAGAGGTCCGGAATTATGAGAAAAATTCATATGCATTTATTTAATTACACTTTTTGCATCATATATTGCCTAATGATAAATGATCAATATATGAGCGAACCAAATCAAAGAGGTGCATCTTTTAAAATTCTATTTTATATGATGGATTATATTTCAAATCTTCAAATGTAAAGTTCATCTCCTTTATTGCATCATGATGGATATTGCAATAAATATTCATATGTCCTTTTAGATAACTTGCATTTGTTACATGATTAATTACAAGGTGTTATGCAAGAATACACTTGAAAAATTTAAAAAATTTGGATGGTCTCTTTTGAAGGCAATCAATTTAAATTTGGAAGGTCTCATTTGTAGGCAACCAATTTAAATTTGGATGGTCCCTTTGAAGGCAACCAAATTTGCAACCTCTTATAATAGGAAAATTTAAAAAAAATGTGTATATGTAGTATGATGTATATTTTAAGATACAAAATCCTTTTATAAGGTTCTCTTTAATGCTTTGCATGTATCTATTAGTAATGTTATTCTTATATGTGCATCAAAGAGGTGCATCTTTTAAAATTCTATTTTATATGATGGATTATATTTCAAATCTTCAAATGTAAAGTTCATCTCCTTTATTGCATCATGATGGATATTGCAATAAATATTCATTTGTCTTTTAGATAACTTGCATTTGTAACATGATTAATTACAAGGTTTTATGCAAGAATGCACTTGTAAAAATTTAAAGCACGTATGTACAATTATTATTATTATTATTATTATTATTATTATTTAATTCTCTTTAATGCAGTTATATTTTCAGACATAGAATACGATCTTTTATGCTCATAAACCATGACCTTTTATGCTTACATGTTGCATTCAAAAATGCTATTTAATTTTTTTGTTGCTAAATTGATTCCTCTATCTTTTGAACTCTAAAGGTTCTATTAGCAATGTTGGGATTTAATTGATTCCTCTATCTTTTGAACTCTAAAGGTTCTATTAGCAATGTTGGGATTTAGTTCTTTAAATATACAACATATTGTTAAAGGTTCTATTAGCAATGTTGGGATTTAGTTCTTTAAATATACAACATATTGTGTTCCCAAAGAACCCAGAAGTAATGACAAACCTTTTTGTGTTTTTGTTTTCTATTCCTTTCTTGATAATATTTGATCATTACAATTTCTACTTGATATGAACGCATATCAAAATTTGTTTAGACATTTATCTTGATAATATTTGATCATTACAATTTCTACTTGATATGAACGCATATCAAAATTTGTTTAGACATTTAAAATGAAAATGTCTAATTATTAGATATCAAAATTTGTTTAGACATTTAAAATGAAAATGTCTAATTATTAGTATCCATTGTTTCTTGATAAGAAACATCAATAACTATGCTAACATGTTTTGATAGTGACTAGAAAGAATCATTTTATCACTCTTTATTTGACTACATGTATAATGCTTTCTCTTGAGATTTTAGGAAATGATCAGAATTGATATAAATATGATCTGTCAACTAATATGTCTAGTTACAGGAGATATGATAAATCAATGTCCTGAAAAAAATCAAATCAAGAGGTATATCTTATAACTTCTTTCTATATGATGAGTAAAAGTTCAAAATCATTGAAGTTATATTCAAATTAGTCCATCAAATAAAATAAAATAAAAATTGCTATTAGGCTTATCCTTATAAGTTGTTTGAAATTAATATCTCCTCTTACTTCTTGTACTCTTGCGTGGAGAGACTAATTTTAAATAACTTAACAAGAAGATGACCTAATGTCAATTTCAAACAATATGAAGGACTAATTACAAAATAAAATAAGAACTTGATAAATAAATACAACGCCTGATAGGCAAAGTTATGATCTTGGACTTTGTAAAGTCTGAGAAAAATATTACTGACCCTTTGACTAAGGGATTATCCAGGAGTGTGGTTCTGGATTCATCGAGGGAGATGGGGTTAAGCCCATAGATGAGATCACTAATAGTGGCAACCCAACCCTTATTTGAAGACTTAGTCCAAATGTTGGTTCAATGTGATAGAAACAAGTTGGACTAGTGACACTCGTGTGGAGCATCGACCCAGATATATTCATATATCACTATGTAGCTTGTGCTACTACCCCTTCTCTATGATGACGATGCTCTTATGATACAGTTGGCTAGGCTGAGTTTTACTCTTAATAAGTCCAACGTGTGTATTATGGGGGGTATTAAATAAACAGCTATAGTACCCTTTGATGACTTACCTACGTGAGAGGAACCGTGATGGCCGCGGTGGGGGGGGGGGGTAGGGCTGACCCCTAGAAACTCTCATGAGTTGGTTTATTATAAGCATGGCCTTTAACGCTCAACCCGCTTTACTCAATAGATGGAGATGTATTGTGTGTGTTTTTATCAATACCTGATTAAAGGG